GTATCGTTTTATTAAAGTGTTATAATTGTTTGTTGCTCTTAGCATTGCTGTTATATGATTTAGTGTACACTGGCAATCATTATCAACAAGCAAATTAAACGTCCCCTATTTGCCACCTTAACGATTGTTGTTAAATAAAATGCACTGAATTTGCAAATTTAAACCATGGTCATCATTGCTATGCCGGTGGTGGAGTTAACGAAGAATTAGTTGTATTTCACTGATTGTGCTCCACGGTGGGTCGTTTTTATTGCAAATTGATGCGTTTTTCTCCAATTTCATGAGCATTTTCTTATACCTTAAACACTGTACAAACTGTACAAAATGTCATTAACCATCATTTAACATTTTTAACCATACAACCATTACATTATATTATATATGTGTACAGATGTTTGTTCTCTTATTTGCTTTCGAAGGCACGCCACTCAAGTCATTGAAAATCATTGAAAATTCATTTTATTGTTGTTGTTGTTATTATTGTTGATAGACCGCCTTTGCCTCTGCTTCTGTCAATTGTTTTGAAAATGTTTATGGTATGATGCCCGCAGAAAAGATGAGTCCAAGTCAGCCTTTTAACTCAATGTTAATGTTTAATTTATTGTCATTGTGATAAACTTACCGGAACTATTTATGTGAATTATAAAAAAAAAAAAAAAAAAAAAATTTAATAAAAAGAAACAGCAGAACGTTTGAACCGAATCCCTTGACGTCTACTTGAAAATATCTTATGGATCACATCTCTTGGGTAATGAATAAAATGTTTGATTGTTTATGCATTAGGTTGAGAGGAAAATTAAGAAAATGACTTTTCTTTGGCATTACCTGGTAATAAAAATTCCATTGCTAATAGTAAGTTTCCCACCTTCAAGCAAGTAAAATTGATTCCTTCCGAGTCAAATTTTTCTTTATTTTCCGTTTCACTCCCTTTCTTATCTCATAATTTTAACAAAGCAGAGAAGGCAGGAGATGCTTCGCCATAGGGTTACGTATTTGAAAATTTGTAACATGTTTTTTTGCGGGTTTTAAGGGCTGAAATTTGAAGCGTTCAAGCAAGCATTGACTTCTTAGTTTTGTATTAAGAAACATTTTTTCGCAGTAGGCACCTGATAGCGGCACTAGGTAGGGAATTGTCCAGCCTGTGTTTGTTCATTCAAAAATCTGTAGCATACTTTTTTGCGACTTCTAGAAGATGCATTTTGAAGTCTTCAAGTGGGCGTTGCATCCCAAGTAACAACTCAGTGATCGCGCTTCCAATCATACGTGCGGCAGAGTTTTTAATAAAAGCTAAAAGCTTTAGATGCTAGTGCTTTAGTCTTAGAATTTATTTACTAGTAATGATAATAAAAAAGGAATAAATACGAGAAGAAAATGGGATCAAATTCTTAAAGGTGAAAGGTACGTTTGCAGTGTTAAGTATACGACTATAGGCGACAAAACTGATTAAAAACAACGAAATAAGCAATCAGCAGTTAGCAAATGAAGCCAAAGCAAGTCGACCGACACTTCAAGAGCATCTTGCATCATCTGAGAACTGGTAATGAAATCACAATCACCTACGACGCATATAAGGGTGAAAATCGAGTATTTATGATGACTAAGAACACGTATCGTTCGCTCATTGATGGTATGGGCAACAATCATTGCAGTTTGAAAGAGATTTAAAGACAAAATGTCCACAGTGTGTCATTGCATCCTTTAATAGAGCGATTTTTCATTATGAAAATGGCCAATTATACGTTAGTCTCATTACTTTTTTTTACACAGTAGTATAATTGGACAGAAGACCAAAAAACAGGATTACATCCTGCATAGGTGTTTGTAGCGCATGCAGATGTTTTTTTCATTTAAAGATGACACAATTTCTGAGTTGCTATGTTATAGCCCGATATTCTTCAAGAAGGTAATCACGTTTTCACTCTATCCATAGACTATCATCGGTCTATGGTTTGTCTCTGTCGATTGTCATTTGTCCATTTCTCGAAACGTTTATGAAAGTGACGCATGCGTGATGACGCAATTAATATACGTGTTTTCTTGCCTGTGCAATAACTAAACAAAAATATGTTTAAATTGTAAAATTGCTAACGCAGTTATTTTGCTTGGAGCAAATGACAATTTGAATCAATACATGTTAACATATTTATATACAGACATAAATGCAAGTCTAACTGATTGTAAACCAATTAGTTTTTTTCTGTAATTATGCGGAAGTCAAACGATTACTGGGTAGGTTAAAATGGAAATATATTTTTTGTTCTATGGACTAATCTAAGGTGGGCCGTTCGTAGAGGGCTCGATAAACAAAGTACAAGTCCAGCTTTACTTTTATTGAAAATAAAAAAAAAAACTGTATTTTCTTCGGGAACCATTGCTGGCTGGTATAGGATCTTATGTACAGCAAAGATGAATGTGACCCTACATTGTAACTTAAACATCGTTTATCGTGTGCACATATTTAAAATCATATCTTAAAATAACTGCACAAAGTAATTTACTTTATATGTATCAAGTAAATACATATATGATAGCGGACTTTTCCAATAGATGGCCCTGACGCCACATGCGGAAGATTTACATATCTGAAGTTATGGTTTTCTTAATAAGTTGGCGATAAGCAGTCTTAACACCAACACATATTGCAAAGCAAAAATCATTTTTCCAACAATTCATTAGCTGAACTTGGTGGCAAATGAAGAGTGAAGAGAGCTAGAAAATTTTTTCCGTATCATATCGTAACTGGGAATGAAAAATGGATTTACTTTGAGAATCTCAAGCGCCAAAATCCGTGGACAAATACTACACACATCAACTGTCAGACAGAGTTGCTTTGATAGCGACACGATATTTTCTGTTTGGTGGAAACAGAAGAATGTGATTTGTTATTAACTGGCAATATCTAATTAAATGGTTAAAATCAATCGCTGCCAAGAACAATTAATTGAATTAAATCGCTCACTGTTCAAAAAAAAAAAAAAAAAAAAATGAGTGACATATCAAAGAAGGCAGTAAAAAGTGCTTTTTTACATAACATCTGTCGGGATAAATCGATTTGGTTCACTCATCAAACTCGTGTGCTTCCGGTTTTGCCGCCTATTTGCTTTGATTGAGCAGTCAGAGTATTGTTCTAAAGAAGACAGGCCGCAATTGCAATAAGTTGCCAGACCATGTAGAAGATTATTGGGCCATCTGAGGGTTGCTTTTGCCGAAGACGGACGGATGCATGGGAATTTAATCGTTTTCAGGGCCAAATTTTTTTTCAAACCACTCTCCAACTGTTTGATAGGCTGCTAGGTTTTCACTCCAAGCCAGAATAAAAATTCCCATAAATGACATTCATCTTTTTATACATTGATATACACTGAACGATACGTTGTAAACAACTGAAACTCATAGTGCACAAGTGCCAATGTCTAAACGGTACATATTCAAAATTTCAGAAAAAATGAACGCCTCATGTACGTTTTATGAAGCAACCAATTTCAATGCATACCTTTTCTATACTTGATAGCTGAGCGAGTTTCATTCAAATTTTAATATTTTGTCGGATTTATCAAAAATTGTAGAGAGGATTTCCTTTTCATAATTTCTTCTTGTATTTTGTTTTTTTTTTTTTTTTTTTTCCTAATAGTAAAGTTTCCTAATTTAACTAGTCGCTCAATAATTACCGGGACAGCCGCACAGATGTCAGCTCTTACAAAACTCAACATATCTTTTGAACAGGGCCAAGGCTCAACCAACGCCTGGCATAATTTTACATCATTTTAATTAATTATCTATGGATTATAGTGGCTTTAGAGACATTGCTTTCTTAATATTCAAAATAGTGGAAAAGTAGCGATCTTCTGCGTTGAGTAACCACCATTCCCCCTTGATGACAAAAAAAGTAGTGTTTAAACTCAATATTAGCTTGAGAAGAGTAGTGGCAACTCTGCTCTTTCAAAAGCGGCAATTTTTCAGTCTTTTCACCTCAACATCTATGAAGCTGACTGTAGCAAATGGCCAACAGAGGTGGTTAAACCAGACAATACCAAAAAGAATACAAAAAAAAACTTGAGAACTATTCCCATTATATGAGGAATAAAGTTGCAAGAATTGCATGATATCGTAAAGATGTGAAGCAGTTTGTACCAAAATGTTGTCCTAAATGCTTATCAGATTTATCCACAGTGAAATAAAAACATGAAACTGTTTGAATTACTGCCTCATTCTGTAGATCTGGCATCTGGCGCTTGTTATCTGTTTTCAAATCCAAGAAAAGATACTCGAGGAAAACAGATTTCGTTCAAACTATGAAGTCGTTGTAGAAACCGAAACCTATTTTGAGAGTTTTATTAATCGCTTCGACATTGACTTCTTACACGACCGTGGGACTAATTGTGTCACTATAGAACGAGACTATGTTGAGGAATAAAGTAAAAGAAATTCTTGTTCTTGATTTGTCCCGGGAATTATTGATCGATATATTATAAAAGAAAAAATTAGCGCTTGGATAATTTAAACCTTGATTTTTTCCAAAAATTTTTTATTTTTTTTTTTTAATGATAATCATTAGCATACTTTCGGTTCAATTGTAGTCCGATTTCAAATATTATTTATGATAATTTTTATAGAATTTGTAAAAAGACATTTTAAGATCATTGAGTTGTAGCAGTTTATTATGTATGAAATTATTTTGATCTATTTATGTTCTACGTAAAATGGCGTGTTGTTTAGAAATGAGATCATCAACGTTATTAATATTTTATTATTCATAATTTTCATACAATTGTGTTATGACGATTGCGCAGATTATATGTGTAATAAAACTAATATAGTTGTATATATTTATATTGATTGCGCTTGTATTGAACAAAAAAGAAAAAAATAAAAATAAAGCGTTAGCACAGTGACTAAATTTAGACTAAAAATGAATTTCAAACGAATTTGGAAATCATCACCTGCCTTGATATAGCGTTATTAACGATGCAATTATGCTGCGCATATATTCGTTTCGTATTTTATTTATTCATAGTACACAGTAAAGCAAAGTAAGAGTAGGATGTGCTTAAGATCTGTAAAAATGAGAAAAAGGAAGAAAATTGTATAAATCATTTTTCGTAACTACGTACATCAAACTAATTGAAAAGTTCGCGGGGCAGGTGAAATAGAACAGACCAATAGTTGAAACGATGAAGGAAACTATTGTCGTCTTTAAAGTAGTCCTTATAATCTATAGCTTCATTGTAAGCGTGTTTGTGGATGTAGAACGTGTGAATAATTCCATTTCCATGCTTGATTTAAGGTAAGAATCCCTTTGTCAGGCTGTGGTGTTCCTTTCCGCGAGAGTTGTAACAAAAGGCATACTAACGGTCGGTTATTAACGCGATGCACAATCTTGCAAGATGCTCGATTTTGGCATATTATAAACAAACAAAAAAAATTGACGTACTTCTGTCGCTATGAAAATTGCAAAGTACTTGCCTTCCCGCAGCCGTAGCAGTTGGGGTAGGATCGGAAGAATTTTTGTATTTTATTTTTTTGAATGTTGCCTTTTGAATGCTAGGTAAATATCTGCCATGGAAAGTGTGCATGTGCGTTTTTTCGATTGCGAACGAGCTTGTAGACTGGTCATAGTTTAACTTGATCTGCTTATAGAAACCCTTTTTAATCTTCTAGGGAAACTAACAGAGAAATGGGGTTGCTGTTGGTCTGATGAATACATCTGGGTATTTTAAACGGAAAGGCAAAGTTACAGCTTAATTTTACTCTGTGCTTTGCGGTTTTTCTATTCTCCTTTTTAATGTGATTTTGCAGGACATTACTTTACTACGACTTTTAAAAGTTTTGGATTTTTTTGGAAATTGGATTTACCGGCGGAGAAGAGAACTTTTTTTTATTATTAATTAGATTTGAAAATGGGTCCTTTGTCCACGACAATCGAATGTAGTTGGTCAACAAGTTTAATCAAAACTTGTAATTAAGCTTTTGATCCCTCCTACCAAATACAAAGATCTATTTTTCTTTTTACCCCTATCGCCGAAGGATTTTGTTTGCAGTGCCCAGAAGTAAGCTTGAGTGTTTTCGTAAAGTGTATGCATTCTTTATCAAGAACAATTTCTGAATCGAGTTAAGCAGTCAGTCAGTCTGTCAGTCTGCCGCTCTGCCCGCTCGTCCATCTGCGCGTAATGTCTGTTGTAAACGGTCTCTTGGCCGGAAAAATGGAGCTACCGACTTCAAATTTCGAAGAAACATTGAAAGTATTTGTACGCACGGTACGGTATTGAAAAGAGCCAAATTCATCGAAAGACAAGCTTACAGTATCAGGTAAACTGAGAACACTTTTGTTTTTCAAAAGGACCGTGTAAGTGAGTTTTCCCTCGCTACGCATAAACTAGAAGAGATAAATCTACAAAAATTTGAAGGTATATTTTAAGGGTATATATTGGGCCCACCCAATATTATAGTGTATCAAAATGTAATTTTTTTTCCTTAAGACGAAGGCTTCAAAATCCCCCATAAGGTATATAAATTCTGGGAACGCACCTAAGCATGCCCGCCTGTTCGTCTATCCATATGTCCGTCTAACTGCACAGTATCTGTGGTAAACATTCTCCCGTTCGCAAAAACGACTTTTCTTACTCATAAGGTACAATACGTCCATCGTATAAATTTCATTTTATATTCTGAAAATAGAAAAAATCAATCGCGCCCATCCAGTATTACAGAGTTGCAAACGTTTTGAATATATTCCTCATCGGTCAGTGATGGGCATGAAAATGGAATAAATGCAATAATAAAAAAACTTTTTTAAAATATAATATAAAGCAACGCTAAGCTTCAGTTATGTCTAGTGATTAAACAATTCTTTTACTGTTCTAGGGATGTTACTCCGCGAATTTTTCAACTACACAGATTACTTACGGTCGTGAATGTTTCAATGTTAAAGCCATAAAATGGACTTGGACGAAACTGTAAAGGTTTTTGTGCACGTCTTATAAGAAAAGCTACCGCCATTTTAAATTCTTTGGATCTTGCATACCAAAGAGGGATTTCATAAGCAGCATCGGCTACATTTAAAGACTTGAGAACCAAAAATTTTCAAAGAGAATGTGTTCTTAAAATTCGCTGCAACTTACCTCAAAGAAAACCAAATTTCCCGCACAGCACCAATATAACAACTGCAAAAATGCGGAGAGCATGTAAATCTCAAATTTAATAGCAATCATGGGTTGATCTTGCGCCAGTAATGCTTCAAAGGCCGTTAAGCAAATCATAAAAGTGCTGGCCGCCATTTGGGCCACATAGTTAAGGTAGTAACATGCGTTAATGTTTTCAATTAAACTGCGTTACCAATAAAAATATAAAAATTGAAAAAAATTTTAAAAATCAAGTCACTTACTTGATAATATACTGATGAATTGTGATAAGACTTCTAAGTTCGTTTAGTGATTCGTGTTCTTCGACGTTTTGCGCAGAAATCTCTCTTAAGCGTATACAGAGGATTTTCAAGTTTAACGCCGTTTGCAGTAAAATGCCGCAAGCAAGATTGTCCATACAAACAATGCTAAGAAGAGCGTGAAATGTCCAAACAACTTGAAATATATATGCGACAGCGAAACCTATCGGATGCTGATCAGAGTTCTCCCAACGCAGAATGGGAAAATGGGCACGATAGGGTAAACCATGATGAGTTAATAGAGGTGGAACCGCCACTGCCATAGCGAACAAAGCTATTAGAAATATGTAAAAGGAAAAAGCAAGAACTTCAAACAAATAGAAGGAGCACTGTAAACGTTTTATCTTTAAGCGGCTTCGACCGTTGTATTCTGCGAACATTCTATGTAAACCATTCAATTTGTCGACGATAGGATGAATTTCGCTCGAATGTTGACCGTGAAAATACATTTTAAGGATTATTAAAGAACCCTATAAAAAATACGAAGACGCCGATGCACACATTACACACATTACGTATATAAGATTATAAAGCGAATTCCTACTCACTCCTATTATAACCACAATATCATCACCTAATAATGTCAAATTGTGGCGAGCTTCGTGGAGGTCACAAGCTACAGTAACAATAAACATTGAACCCATTGTAATTTGAACTATATAGGCTAGGGAATAATATACGTGCTCTTCGGACCATTTGCGTGGCAAAATACCAATCATTCTGTTCGTAGCAGTAAATCAAAATATAAATAAATAAATAAAGGAATAACAATAAAATTTTTTTCAAAAAATACAAATCACAGTTCAAAAAAAACCTTATGTAGCTGCGTACAAACATCAATGACACCTGTTCCAAAAGGCATGCACGTTGCCTTAAAACCATTTTAGCCTGAATGTAGAATCCCGAGATGTGGTTCATACTGCAGCTGCCTTTGCTTTTGTTATACGTATTGCGAATGTTACGAATAGCCGGTGTTGTTATTCTTGTTGTTATTGTTGTTATTGTTATTATTGTTATTATTGTTGTTCTTAAGTTGGTTAGTTGTATTGAATTCAATGCTCATCAACGTGCCTTGAGCAATTTCTGTTTGTTAACAACACATTGTTGGTATTATAGATCGCTTTCGTCGCTTTACGACCGAAACCCCCACTCACTAGAAGTGTTTGTATACTTATAAACTAGGAAAAGGTGCATACTTTATACTTAAATCATATTTTGTAAGTCGGATTGGTTTTTATAGCCAAGTGCTTCTTGTAGTTTATTATATTATCTGCTACAGACAGTCATTTACAAGTCTGCTAAGGATTATTGTTTTATTCTTTGCAAATAATACACAATTAGTTGAGAGTTAATATAATGTTTGGGTTGTTTTGTTTGTAAATAATAATTGGTTTATTATAATTTCCTCTACACTGCCATTATAATAGCAATAAAGTCATTTTTAAATCGATAGATATTTAACAATTCTTGGAATTTTCGAGAAATTACGAGAATGTGGAGGTTTTAAGACTATCGTAGAAGGAAACGACGCAGAAACGGCTCTTTAATTATTACGAAAGGAAAAGAATGTTTATATCAAATTAAATTAAGTCGGAGAACAGCACAAAAAAAATTCGAAGAAATTTACGTACGTGACTCCTGAAATTATTTTATTAACCACCAAAGAAGGTATACGTTGCACTTCATATTCAACATCACTTGTGGTACGAGGGTATATTAAGTTTATAAGCATATGTGTGTATATAGGTACGAGGACTTGAAGATAGACCTGCCCTTTGTTATACCGATCGATTCGGCATCACTTGCTGAATCCTTCTAAGCTTGTCTGCTCGTCTTGTTTGCTTGCGTCCACCTTACAGGCCGCAATTTTTCAGATATTTTGATGAAATTTAGTAGACTGAGAATGGGACGGTTCGGATTACTTTTACGAACGCTTCCCTACGTACAGGATAGTGTAAGTTATTGAATGATGAGCTGTGACCCACTACAGTGCGTTCTTTTAAATATAACCAAGCACTCAAGGGATGTCTCCTGTACGTGCAGCTTGGCGATGGTTAGAAAGAACTAGGGAAAGAGAAGTAGATCGGGAGCGGTCACAACCTAGAAAGTTTTGAGCCCTGTCGACCTTTATTGGCTAAACATACAATTATAGCTAGCAACAAGTACGAGCAAGTCAAACCGCAATTACATTTCAGCTCGCGGGCATCGACTTAGTGATCGCAACTCTTCGGTATACGTAGGCAGCCTGCGGAAAATTCGTTAGGTCTAGAAAAATATGCATCCGTCGCAATAGAAAGTACATGCAGTCTGCGTCTGCATGAATACCAAAGGCAATGTGCGAAAAATTGGCCCTCTAAGTTAACATGGACCTTGAAGAGGTCCAAAAACCCTTAACTGGATTCCGAAAATCATTCTGGATCGATGGCTATAGTGAGGGAAGGGTGTATTTAAAAGTGCCTCTGGATGTTCCATACATCCGTGTAAATTAAATATAAACTCTCCGCAGGCGGTTTAAAATCTAACAACAAAAGGTACCCATCACAAACTTTCTTAAGCTTTTACACAATATTTCATTGAATTTCCTTCCCTTTTTAGGGTGAAAGTGTAGTGAAATGTTTGAAAAACTGTTCAACATAAAAAAGAAAACTCCGCCTTTATTATCGCTACCGTGCATTTTACTTTGATATAATAACAATCAATTAAATTCGCATTAATCTGATAGACGTTATGCTAAAAACCAAATCTAAGATAAGCTAATGTGGAACACTGCGATATTATTTTTTAGCATTTCTTCTTCAATTTATTTATTTCAATACAAATCGACAGCCTGTCATATGATATGTATCAATAAACCATAGTAAACAAAAGTAGAGAAAAAAAAAATATTTGTTGTCAAGAAAAGTGGACCACTTTTGTGCAACTCATGGCATTCTTATACTTGCCTATAAGTCAACTGTATGGGTACTTGGCTCTTGGTACAACACAATAAAGTGAGATGAAAGATTACACTGATATTTAAAGAGGCGTTACGTAGTGGTGATCTCGTATTCACACCTCATTGACTTTAGGCTGTCATAAAATAATTGCAGCAGACAGCTGAGCTCAATGATAGAAAAAAATAAAAATAAAAAGAGAAAAACGGCTCCAGTCAAGACTTTTGAAAAAGTTTTCCATTAATATGAAATACTTAAGTCGTTATAACTGCCTGTATTAGGTGCTATATAATGCAGTTAATGCATTGCATTGTTGTTGTTTTTATTGTTGTTGTTGAACTGCTTTTATTTACTTGCATGCCTATAGAAATATCAACAAAAAAGGTAAACCTACAAACAAGTACTTTAAAGACACTTTGCTGCCAATTGAACGAAGCATTGTACACAAATTGTGAGAGTAAAGATAGGGATAAGGAAGCATTATAACGATTGAATCGTAAGAAAAATAAATAGATTAGCGCATAGCATGGCGTATATAACTGGTGAATGCATACACTCACACACGCACACACACACACACACACAAATAGATATGTATTCAAACACAGACATACATACTTACATAAACATATATATACTATGCTTAGTGATTATTGCAAACATATAAAAGCGTTCTTCTAGCATTCTACAGCATACGTTGAATTCTCGGATTTATATATATATATATATGTTATAGGAGATATTTCGAGCTAACTGTAGGCAGTGGTTGTCAATAATTGCCATCGCTTTATATGCGTTTTTCAATATTTGTAAAGATGTTAGATTTATATGTATACGCATACATTTACATTTTCAATGTTTTAAGTTGCATAGGCAGCGACCGATCTATTCGAATGCTCTCTTGTTGTCCGTTGCTACTATTTCTTAAGCAAACATTTTGTTTACAGTTTATTACTTGGAAAGTGATTTAAACATCTTAACCATTAACATGATCATCGGTTATCTGGAAATATAACAAATATAACAAACAAAACAATGTGACTTTACCATATTTGTTTGTTGTTGCTGTTGTTATTTGTATTAAATCAACTTTCGCATGTGCGTATGTTCGGTCCGTGTATTCACGTTTGCTGCTACGTTCCAAACTGGTTATAATTAAAGAATTATTTTACACCAAATAAGGTGAAACTTTTAATGCATGACCGAATATCTTTAACTAAAACCTATGGTGACCACTTAACTTAATACATATTTCATGCTTTAACTGCCGCAATAACCATCAAGTAAGTACTTTTTTGTTTGCACTTAATGCCACAACGGTACCGTTCAACGTTGAATGGCTACTCATTGCACAGTTTTAGTCTATGGTATTATGTATACGTATGTGAGTTGGATTTTCCTGACTTGCACGTCTGTAGCATTAAATGCAATCTTTCCGTCACTCACTCATTCGCTCACTCATTCACTCACTTATACTCACATATGCTAGCAGCAGACGTATAGTGCAATGTGAACATTTAATTATGAGTTTGTAAAACAATGTCATTGTGTGGCGATAGTTGCCACAAGCCATAAACTTGGGGCATAAAGTTTCAAGTCTCAATTCCTAACTAAACCTTCAACTTGTTGCAAGCCATTGGCTCACTTGTTATTATTTCTTTGAATTTTTTCCTATTTTTGGTTTAGTTTCTTGCTTCCTCTTGATTTTCTTAGTGTAAGAAATTATTGCTTCTGGTCTTTATATTTTTAAATCTTTATCTTTTCCGCTGGCATGACTGTAATAGGCTTAGTGTTTAATTGTTTAATTTTTATTTTGTTAGTTCGTTTTTAGTGTTTGGTTTTTTTTTTTTTTTTTTAACGTTTTATTGTGCTAAGGAAAGTTTACACAAAGTTTTAAAAGTATTCAGTGAACTTGGCTTTGAGCAGAGAAATTTTTTACCTATGAAAAGTAAATAAGGTAAAGAGCATTTGCAAGCATTCCTTCCGCTTTTGAATCTTTCGCTTTCGGCAGAGACGATACGCTTAGACACTTAGTGCGTGTCAATGCCGTTAATCGGCATCATGTGAGAAGATTTGGTTGCGAGGCCGTGGCTTCATGATCGATACTGAAGTTGGCTATTTCTTAATCATTACTTTTGGCAGTTGGAACGTTTGATACGTTATCATAACGTATCAAGTTTTCTTCGAATTGCGTAAAAAAAAGCTTATTGCCATTTTCTTCCAAGTAATATTGTTCATACTATGTAGAAGTAATTTGTTACCGTTTTGTTTTTTTTGTATGAGGCAAAGGTAAACACAAGTTATTCAAGGAATTGCTCTACGCCGGTCACTACGTGCATTGTCTCTCCATGAAGGATCTCACTTTTTGGGGGATTTTGATAACAATCGAAGTACTACTCAGACAGATAGTAGGTCGTCAACTGAAGTGAGCGTTAAATAGAAGGGGGATAACTTATTCCAGTGCAGCGCTTCTAACCGTATTTGAGGTAATTTTGATCTTTGGCATATTGTTTTCGTTTCTTTGCATAGTTGTGTTAGTTATTGGTCGTAGAGCCTTCTAGTGATGATGATTTTGTTTGTTTAGTGTAACTCATTATTCATTGCAATCAGTTATTTGCCCGGGCGCCTCATGGCCATGGTGATGTCGTGCTTTTTCCTCGATGTTAGGGTTTCAGGCGCTACGGATATTGGATTATTAGACTTCCCACGCTTCGCTATCCGTATTAAACATTGTAATGAAATAGTAATGATTTTCGAGGTTAACGTTTCCTTGAGCATAGGATCCCACTTATTCAAAAGAATCGTACCTTAAAGAACAGTGTTGTCTGTGTCTACGCTTGATAGTCATAACTTTTAATGCTGTTTAAAGTTTGAAGATAGTCTTAAGACAGTCACGTTAAGTAGGGAGCAATACAAATTATACTGCCGTAGAATTTCCAATCGCTAACGCGACGATGTCGACGTAGCAGACACCGAGCATGCTATCCAAGTCAG